GCAGGTGTAGTTGTTTGAAAGGGGTCATAAAACGTGTGTGCGCCCCGTGCTCTCATACGTGCACGCTTGTCTCAATACCAATCGCATTCGTACCTGCTTCAGCCTAACCACCTTACTGAAGTGTTTGTGGCCACCACGCAGCTTGGTCTTTTCTTTTTGCAGTTACCAAGATTCAGTGGAATCGGTGAAATGCTGTAATCCTGCTGTCGCTGGATTAAAAATTATACAGATGCCTAAAAAATGGTGTAATCGACTCTCCCATGAACATCCATTGCCTTGTGTGTACGTGGGGGTTTCCGTATTTATTCATAGCTGGTGGAGAAGGGAAACCCTCCAGGTCTGACAGTCTTCTCTCGGTGGTCCACGCAGCTCCCTCCACTACTGTTAAGTTACACGTGCATATGAAGGGGAGACTGGACACTTTGTGTGGAGACAGAACGGATTCCTATCTTACAAGCACTGTGAATATCTATTATGCAAGTTTTTGTATTCATGTGAAAAAAAATGTTCCCATTAGTAATAGAGTTATTTTTTTGTTTGTCTTCAGATTTAGAAGGTCTCTTGTTGTATTTGGGTTTGATTAGTTTGGTAGGAGGTAACGTGTAAGCATGCATCAGCCGCTGTTAGAAACTAGCTGGTGAATATTTGTATATATTTGTAAAATACTCATGGTATAATCACTTTGTTTTAATGGTAGAAGTTTCTCCTTTCCATGAAAGGAATTTCTTGTTTAAAATAAAATATAAATAATTATATGTACACCTGCAATAAAATATGGATAGAAAAAGGTGACCATGTATCTCTTCTTATTTCCCACCCATGAGGGGCAAGTCGGTCATGTCTTCCATTTGAGATGGGTAGGCTGTAGAAACAGAAATTTGCCGCCAGACCGTGACCCACAGGTGCTTGGCTTGCGTTGGCAAACCCAAAGGCACCGCAGCCTTTTCCTCCCTGCCTCTCTCAGTAGCTGGTGGCCAAAGGGGCCTCTGTCAGGCATTGAGGGACCCGGTCGAGCAGGTTGGAGTTGGCAGGCAAGGCTAATGGGAGCTGAATCTCACTGAAGAGACAAGTTAAGCTGCTCGTGGTGGTTAGTCGAGAAAACAGAGCGTGTGAACTCCCAAGGGTGTGGAGAGAACCCTGTCAGCATCCTCCTGGGGGCTGCATGCGAGGACAGGCACACCAGCCCAGGCAATCCAAAGTGCTGCCGAGGAGCGCTCTGCCCTAAGTCCCCTAACCTGTCTGGCATGGAAAGTTCTGCTTTGCTTTGGACATTAATCTATGATGGGGTGCCATAGTTTCACTATTCACATCTCTTCCTGAAGAAGCTTGTTGGCTGAGGTTCCCTTGTAAATGTGGCTTTTGGTTCTTCCCTTTTCTCTGGATATGTTATGGAGTGCTAAAGCTAACGTTCAAAAATTAAAAAAACAAACCCCCAAAGTAAAAAATTTTTAGTATTGCCCCTATTCTTAGGACTTCTCCTCTTGTACTTCATATTTCTGTCCCATTGCCGCTGTGTTTCCAGTACGTAACTTCTCAAGGACTTTGGGGACTCATCCAGCTTTGGTTTGAGGCTGCTGTAAGGAAGCGGTTGGGTTACAGATGGAGCTTTACATGGAGGTAAAATTAAATAATAGGCAAATATTAAGTTGCTTATCTCTGAAGGGCTTTGTCACTTCTTTTTATTTGCTTGGCAAATAATAGCACCTTCGTGCCTGCTGGGGTGGACTGCAGCTGACAGCACCTGGGATGAGTCTGTCTCTGACAAGGGTTCGTGGTACTGGTGAATCCTGTGTGGGTTTGGTGAAGTGACACAGCGCGGGATGGGGAAAGGCCGTTACTGCACCCGATCTGTGCTGAGGCTTGCCAACTGCGGGAGCGGCATGGAGGTAAGGTCTGCTAAAGGTGATGGGGGTGTTGTAAAACACCCCAGGTATTTTGGGTGAAGTGAGAGCAGTCCCTCGGTGGAGTTCTTGGCTGCAAGATCTGAGACACTGGAGTTTGCCAGGGTGTTTTAAGAGCCTGAACGCTTCTGAGCGAGACCTGGTCATGAAGTCTTACAGTGGTGGGCCAGGTCCCTGCTGTGGCTCCTTGCCTACCAGCCATGGTGCCTTCCCTGCCCGGGCATGGTGTTTCCTGGTCAGTCTGTACACGTTTCTCCTAGCAGCTCTCCTACCCCAGCCTCCTGTGCCCCTACAGCTGCCTAGACCTCGCAGCCCTCGATAGGAGGCCTGCACCTTCTGTGGGTGTTTTCCC